AGGGATATAGGTATACAGGGATATAGGGATACAGGGATATAGGTATACAGGGATATAGGGATACAGGGATATAGGGATATAGGGATATAGGGATACAGGGATATAGGGATACATGGATATAGTGATACAGTGATATAGGGATACAACGATACAGGGATATTGGGATACATGGATATTGGGATACATGGATACAGGGATACAGTGATATAGGGATACAACGTTACAGGTATATAGGGATACATGTATAAGGGGATATAGAGATACATGGATAAAAGGATACATGGTTATAGGGATATAGAGATACAAGGATATAGGGATACATGGTTATAGGGATATAGAGATACAAGGATATAGGGATACAGGGATATAGGGATACAGGGATAAAGGGATACAGGGATATAGGGATACAGGGATATAGGGATACAGGGAACAGGGATACACGGAGATACGGAATACAGGATACAGGGATACACGAATACAAGGATACAGGGATAAATGGATACATGGATACAAAAAGCAAAAACCAAACCTTATTAGTTTGTGAATAAGCTGAGGATTGGAAAAATCTGCTAAAATGTTTCACAATTTCCATATTTGTTGTTCTTCCGCCATTTTCTAGAAGAAAATCAAGAACATCCTGAACAGTTTTGAAATTCTTTTTACTAAAATATTTTGAAAAAAAAATAGATCTAAGGGATTGTGAGTGTAATTTCAAGTGAACCATTCTGCAAAGATTGCAATACCTGATTCACAACGGTACCCTTGAACCCTTTATCTGATCAATAATGTTGAAGATATTGTGCATTTTCTTGTGCTTTTCTGGTGCAGAAACCACAATTTAAAACAATGAAATCTAATTCATACTTGATCACAAAGAATGAGACGCATGGACGCAACATATTTAGTGTTTTTCCCTTTACAGAAAACTTGGTTCTGTTTTTGGCCCTCTGCCCCTTTAGTAAAAGTAAATTCAACCTATATGAAGCATAAAGTCTGACCGCGTCAACCTTGTTGCACCTGCTAGTCCTGTCCATAGAGCTAGGTACAGTACAAACTGGGACCGGAAAGGTTGAACCAGCTTGTAAATTCAATTGTACTACGGCCGGCTGCCCGTGAAACCAACTGATTTGTATTTACAAATACATCTTACATGTTAGGTTTTTATACATATTTACAATATATGCGCAGATATACATCATTGTAGTTAAGCTAATCACAATACGTAGCTAATCCAGTCGCATTACAGTTGTGCGTATTTAAGGATTAGCGCAGCTAGATTTACAGACAATGTACAACGTAATTCATAGGTATGTTCAAACTGTGTTTATTACACTCATAACCCTGTATGTTGTATATTATGAAATGATATTGAAACAGTTTATAAATTTTACGGATATTGCGTTTCTGATTAGGAATGATAACAAGTGTAAGAATTGCAAAATATTGTATGCATATACTGTATTGTATAGTACAAACATATGTTTTACAGATTTGTAAAAATCAACAACAAAATCTAAAGATTAATTAACAATACAGATAAGACACTAGATGTCGTCTTTTCAAGATTTCGGGGTTTTTCGTTCACTCTGAGGCAGAAGACCAAAGGAGTTACGCGTCTCTCTCTGTCTTGTAATTCCACGCCGCATGCAGGTAACTCCTTTTTGCTTCTTTCTGCCTCAAGGTTATCATGAACAAAAAATCCCTAAATCTTGAAAAGACGACATCTAGTGTTCTATCTGTTATTGTTAATCAATTTATAGTAAGAAGGTGGTTTGTTAGAAGTAAAAAAGTAATTAAAAATTTGACCTGAGAATTTAATATCATACTCATGATTCGGCTGTTCTTGTTCTTGTTGTTCTTGTTCTTGTTCTTGTTCTTTTTGTTTCTACTGCTGTTGTTATTGTTTGTTCTTGATCTTGCTCTTGTTCAAGAATATCACTGAGTAAATATAAAAATAACAACATATAATTAATATCTATTTATTTCCTTTTTTAAAAAAGTCTCATCAATTTTTAAGACATAGTCGACTTTTAAGCTTTGATTTTACCGCTTGAACGTAAAAATGCTTTTTTATAGCCCTTTGCATTTACATTTTAGCACTTTAAAGCACTTGTTATTAGAGTTTGTATTTAAGAAGTTATTGGAAAAATTCCAATCGATTTTCGCTTGAGAGCTTGAGACCTTTAAATTACATCTGAGTAACAATGATAGATAAATTGTCAATTTTGTATCTAAAAAAGTGTTGAATTCTGATAATTTCCTCTGAAGTATTAATGCGCAAGTTACTTTCCTGTAGAGAAACCACTATTCTAAATAAACAATTTTCAGCTTAACAAATTCTGATATCTCATTTATCCTTAATGAGAAAGGATTAACTGGCACCGTTGTGAATCGGACACTTGAAATTACAACTACGTTGTTTAAAAAAATATATAAACTTTCAAAGGAATTGAGTCTTTGCCACAAACTCTGATTTTACAATCCCTATATCTTTGGAACCCAATGTCTTAGACCTTATTTTTTTCAAACTAAGTATACTGTTAGATCAAATAATCTAAGTTTGAAATATCAAAGGTTTACTCCATCAGGTTCCAAAGATATAGGGATTTAAAAATTTAAGTTTGTGACAAAAACTCAATTCCTTTAAAAGAATTCTGACTCTAACCTTTCACCTTTCTCTAGAATAGTTTTAACTGTTTAAGTAATGAGAAATTATTTGACAGGGTTTAGAGATAAGTAATTTCAAAGATAAGAGTGTTTATTTTGTTCAGGATTCATTTAACTCAATCAATTCATTAGAAGGGGAAAGTAGTAATTAGAGGATTTTAAATAATTTTTAGAAAATTTAGATTGATAATTAGTAAAGAAAAACTTTACTATTTTCTCTTTGCAACATGATGGTGCACATCAACCTTTTGATATTTCAAACTTTGATTTTTTTATGTTTGATAAATCTTTAAATCGTGTTTTTAGGTATAAACTGCATGAATACAAAACCCAAACTGAATACAATTCAACAATTAAATATGTAATACACTGCAGTGCTAAAACATATTTAAAAATATCATTAAAAAAATCATTTAAAAGTATAATAAAAAAACTTAATATTGAAATATACAAATTGTTTTTAGATTTTGTAAAAAAAAGTTTTCAATTAATCCCCTTGTGTCATGGGTTGTATTGTTGAATCAGAAGTTGTAAATTTATTCAAGAAATACAATTATTCAGTCGGAACATACAGAATTTAAAAACTGAGAATTAGATTATATAATTTTATCGTTTTATATCACACAGATGTTATACTGTCACAAGAAATGGTTCGATATCTCTATATTTATATATTTAATTTGGTTGCATGGTTTCAATATTTATTTATTACTTAAAAAAGAAATGCAAAAATCTATTTCTAGCAATTTCTAAGCTTTAATTCACCATGGGGAATTAAATCAATACTTTCTTGATATTCCACGAAAACCCCTCCGTCTTCAGGTTCTCTAGCCTCAACGCAACCAATGAGAGGCCGGCCTCGTCCCCGCTCACCAATCAGAATCCGGGAAACCAAGAACATTTCCCGCGTTTCGCCACGATCCAATAGGAGCGGCGATCAGACTGGTTTTACCGCCAAATCTTTCCAATAGATGGCGTAGACCCACAAGTACCGAGGCTCTGGAAGAGGTTGTGTATCCGGCCTCAAAAAAGTTCTTGATTTAAGTTTAGAAAGTTGTAGGATGGAGCTAGCAGGTGGGGGGTTTGATGCCCGACATAGTGAACATGTTAATAATACAGAGGTTCTCTTGGCACTTCTCACTCAAAACAAAGAATTAGAAGGTTTGTTCAATTCACAAAAATCTAAAGAAAAAATTATGCAATTGACGTATCAATACGAACCTGACATTACAATGTTTTTTGATTTTTTTTTAAAACTATGGTTCATCAAGTTTAAATTTCACTTTTTTACTTTTTAATTTTTCTTTTTAATTGTTGACATTGTAAAGTTTTAGAAATTAAGATTTATTTGCATCGAAACAATCTGTAAAAACATTAATTATGTTCTATTTCTAACAAAACTTCCGTTAAAATTGTTTTATTTTAACGGAAGTTTTGTTAGAAATAGAACATAATTAATGTTTTTACAGAATGTTTTTATTTAAGAAAAACGTAACTTATTGAAGCTTCTAATAACGCACACATACATTTGATGATTTAAATAATAAACATTGAAAAAATAATTAAAATGAAAATGTCATCAGAATATTATAATTGTACGGGTTTGATATCAGTTTCAGTTTAGACAACTAAAAATAATTCTGCTAAAAATGCTTAAGGTTTTTTCTTTTCTTTTTATAAAACAAAACAAGGAAACTTATTTTTATAACATAGAAATTGTGATAGAGCAAGACAAAAAGCGATTTTATCCCTGAAAACTTTTAAAAGGTGCCCTAAAAGATATTATTTCATCATCACGTTTGCGCCACAATGTTTCAGCTCAAAGTCTTAATCTATAATCAGATATTGGCAACCAGGTATTTTAACCTTTAATATTTTTAACTTTGATCTATAGCAGAATTCATAGTTAAGCATTTTATTGAAATTAAATCTAAAAATTTTTAAATCGATATTTTTTTTCGTATTTTATTTCAAATCCGCTGCAAACATTGATTATAGAGCCATTAAAAGCGAACTCTATAGTTCCTGAAAAAACAAACAAATTAGCTAAAAAGTAAAAAGAATCTTTCGATTTTTACTCAATTGATAATTATCTTAATTACGTCTCTGAAAAAAAATCCTTGATCCTTGATCAATAATGTGGAAGATATTGGAAAATTCCTATTTATTTTCCTGCAGTAGAAATGCGGGCGTCAAACATTATAAAAATCCAACGTATAGAAATCTCTAGGTATAGCAACAAGGCGTATTTTCCGGGAGAACATTTTTTATATTTTTGAGAAATTAAATAATCAGTTTATAAAGTAGATATAATTTTCATAAAATACTTTTATTTAAATGGTAAAACAGAATTTTATGAAATCATATTGGCATTATTGGAAAACTTTAAAAAAATTCTCCCGGAAAATACGCCTTGTTGCTATACCTAGCGATTTCTATACGTTGGATTTCTATAATGTTTGACGCCAAAATGCGCAAGTCAATTCTGTAGAGAAACCACAATCTAAAATAATCAGTTTTTCAAATTGTAAATATTGATATATAATTCATACTTTAATACTAAAAGCTCCTTTCAGTGAAAATCAAAAAGCCTATTAAGTTTTTTTGATTATAAATTTTTTTTTTTGGTTCAGAGACCTTTAGGGTAAAAATAAATATCAATTGATTTATCAAAATTCGTAGCTTTGAAATTGATATGTCTCTGCGATCAGGTTGCAACGATATGAATGTTCAATAATTATAATAGCTAATCCCTTTACCCCAAAATCAATAAACAATGTGTAAATATATAAATAAAACAGCAAACATTGCCTCAATTTATAAAAAATTAAAATGACAATTTAAAAAACATGATTCGATTTATCTAAGGACAGAATAAAAAATATATTAATTAATTGTTTAATAAATATAAATCCGGAAATTAAATCTGGTCTCTTGTGTGCATTCCTAAAGAAAAGCTGACCATTTCTATCTATTATTTTGCTATTAAACTCTCACTTAATACAATCGTCATAAAAATGCTTGAACAAAAAACTTGAGTTTTGTTGCACAAACTACAGTTAAACCATAAATAAGCCATACAATGAAAGAATTCATCAAAATCAAATGTCGTGTTCTTCACTTTCTGATAATGGAATGTTGCAGATATTTAGTTGTTTTTTAATTAAATGATTATATGGAGCTCTTTAAAACTGTTCCTGCATATTCATTGCATGTGGATTTAACGGTTCTGTCAATATTTCATAAAACTGTGACTTTCGATCCCAATTTGACCCCTTTTACATAATTTTATAGCTATTTATTTGAAATATTTTTTTGTTAGCATATACATTTTAAATGAAAAAGTATAAAATAAACAAATCTGTTAGTTTAAAGATTGTTGAGTTATAGACCAAAACACGTTTGATTTCAAATAAAAGAAACCGAATGCTTCTCTCTCTGGTTAGTTCGGGGTGATGGCTATTTATTTATTTTCGCAAATACTATAATTTACGTAAAATAGTATAAAACCCATGGAAATTGTCAAGGCGACATTTGATAAATTTTTTCGATGTATGGCTCATCTAGGGTATGATTTTCTAATCCCTATATCTGTGCAACCCAATGTCTTCGGTATTTTAAACTATGAATTATGTTAGATAAAATAATCTCAGTTTGCAAAGATTAAGAGATTAGAATATTTTAATTTGTAGCAAAGACTTAATATTTGATATAAAAAACATTATTTAAAAACTTTTTAACATTTCTGTTCCATAGAATTGCGGAGATAAGTTACCTAACAACCTGGATAAAATTAGATAAATTCTTGAAGCATTTGACTTTTGTTTACGCAGCCAGCAATCCCATTAGATATATTTTGCTCGTTGCAAACCTATTATCCCTGAATTATTTTTGTTTCTCTTCCTTCTCCTGTCAGAGTAATTTGATTAGAGGAGTTCTGTTTCTCATTCTCTCTCCAGGATACTGTTCTAATCTTATCCCGGAGCAGGGATACTTCATCCTTCATCCTTCATCTTTCATCATTTATAAGAATTTAGCGTACATCAAGATGAATATGGCGGATAAAAAGATGAATATGGCGAATAAAAAGATTGATATGGCGGATATTAAGATGAATATGGCGAATAAAAAGATTAATATGGAGAATATTAAGATGAATATGGCGAATAAAAAGATTAATATAGCGGATATTAAGATGAATATGGCGAATAAAAAGATTGATATGGTGGATATTAAGATGAATATGGCGAATAAAAGATAATTATGGCGGATATAAAGATGAATATGGCATATATAAAGATGTATATGGCGGATATAAAGATGTATATGGCGGATATAAAGATGAATATGGCGGATGTGAAAGGCTAAATTGTGTCTAATAACCGTGAAACTTCCAAGGAATAAAAGAAAGGGAGAATATAGAACATATGTTACCAATGTCCCTTTTAGTTCCTTTGCCAAGCTAATACAAATTTAATGATTTGAAGGTTGCATTTAATTTGGTTTTTTTTTCTGTGGCAGGGAATCAAGAGAAAAGATTGGGTAGAGGCCAAACTCTGTTACTCGCGAATGCAGCAATGAATTTTAAGAAGAGAGAGATTAGTAAATATTTTAGGGTTAGGTAAGGTTTAGACATTTTCTTGGACGCGCGCTGCGGCTAGGACAGGCTAGGGGGCCGAGTGCCACGGCTAGGATAGGCAAGCAGGCGCCGCGGCTAGAACAATTGCTGCATTCGCGATCGTAACAGAGTTTGGCCGCTGTCAAAACATTGTATAGATTCTACGGTCAAATAGGAATTACAAAAAATGTATTATATGCGTGAAAAAGAAGACTTATTGGCTTTTAAACCTAAAAACAGTCTTTGCCATGAAAACTTCTATTTTTATAAACTTATAGTGCTTCAAAACCTCCCCATCCCCCTCCTCCACATTATGCTCTATACTGTATACACCCCCCCCCCTTCCCCAACCTTATGTATGGACACTATATAGTTTGTATCCCCCCAACCCTTCCCCTACTTGACAATTCGTTTAATATTCACTTAATGTATCATAACAATAACTATACTCTCACTCCTCTAAGTGTCATTATATCACCCTTTTCTACACTTTGTCTCTTTTTTAAGGTTGACAGAGAGTTGTGGGAAAACATACTTTGTAATTTATTAAAACCTTTCAGTTATAAATCTAGACATTATGAAGTATGATAAATCAATAATGCAAGTCCTCTTTTCCATTTATCAAAACTGTTTTATAAAAATCAACTTTCCGGATACAGTAAATAAATCATAGATATATTATTACTTTTGGATTTGTTCTTATTTTTCTTTTGTTTCAGCAACGATCCCTAAATGTGGATCATGCGGCGGGATGATCCTGGATCGGTTTATTCTCCGGGTGGTGGATCAACCATGGCATGCAAAATGTTTGTCATGCGCTGCATGCCGTCAGCCTCTCAGGTAAAACCTTTGATATGCATGCATTCTGTTCAAGTGGAATTTAAATTATGCAATTCAGAGGTGGAACTTTTTGATTGGATAAAACGAGTTTAACTAATTCCCAGTTTACTGGCAACGGAATTGAGCCGGTGTCACAACCCCGATTTTCTTATCCACATTGATATTTTAAACTTATATTATTTGATCTAAAATAACTCATAGTTTGTAATCTAAGGTCTACGACATTTGGTTGCATAGAGATATGGGTTAGAAAATGAGAGTTTGTGGCAAAAACTCAATTCCTTTATCATTTTCATTTTGATAATTGCATTCTTTATTGTTTTCAGGGAGAAATGTTTTGTTAAGAACGGAGAAGTTTACTGCAGAGAAGATTTCTTTAGGTAAGAGATCATATAGAAGGAGGAGAAGGAGAAGTACAATAGAGCTTAGGAGAGGTAAGAGAAGGAGGAGAAGGAGAAGTACAATAGAGCTTAGGAGAGGTAAGAGAAGGAGGAGAAGGAGAAGTACAATATAGCTTAGGAGAGGTAAGAGAAGGAGGAGAAGGAGAAGTACAGTAGAGCTTAGGAGAAGGAGGAGTTCAATTAGGAGTAGAAGTTAGGTTGGAAGGAGTAAGAAGAAGTACAAAGGAACATAAAAAGAAGTAAGAATAGAACAGATGTAGAAGGATTAGAAGGAATAGGAGAGTAAGAGAAGAGGAAGAAGAAGAAAAGTAGAAGTAGGGTAATTAGAAGAAGAAGTAGGATAAGGGGTTTGAGTAGGAGAAGTAAGATTAGGAAAAGGAGAATTAGGACGAAGGAAAAGTAGGAAGGAGAAGTAGGAGTAAAAGAATTAGGTGAAGTAGAAATAGGAGTTAAAGAATTAAAAAAAGGAGAAGTATGAGTATGAGAAGTAGGTGTAAGAGAAGTAGGAGTTGAAGAAGTAGGAAAAGGATAAGTTGGAGTATAAGAAGTAGGAACAGGAGAAGTAGGATTGTAAGAAGTAGGAGAAGGAGAAGTATGAGTAGGAGTGTGAAGTAGGAATAGGATTAGTAGGAGTAGTAGAAGTAGGAGTAGAAGTAGTAGGCGTAGTATAGAAGTAGGAGTAGAAGTAGTAGGAGTAGTAGAAGTAGGAGTAGAAGTAGTAGGAGTAGTATAGAGGTAGAAGAAGAAGTAGAAGTGAGAAAAGTAGGATTTAGAGAGGAAGGACTATTGAGAGTAAGGAGTAAAGAATTTAGGATAAAAAGTGTAAGGTTAAAGGTAAATTCTAATCTTGAATATTTAGAAAGTACGGAACTAAATGCTCCGGGTGCGGAGAAGGTATACCTCCTAGTACTGTAGTACGGAGAGCCCAAGATCATGTTTACCACGTGGAATGTTTTGGTTGTGTACTTTGCTCCCGGAAACTGGATACAGGTAAGAATCTTTAGATTAACACGTGGTTAGACTTTAGTTCAATTCCTGCACAGCTGTACAGACAAATACACTAGGCCAAATATATTTTTTTTATACAGAAACATCAAATGGTTATAAAAGTAGAGACATTTCCGATTAAAATTTTTTACTAATTCGAATACTATTCCAAATAAATGCATCACAAACTTTAATTACCATTTTAGGAAAACAAAAGTTGATTTTTTGTTTTTAAATCTAACGTCCATGAATATAGGAGATGAATTCTATCTGATGGAGGACAAGAAACTACTCTGTAAAGTTGATTATGACAGTGCAAAGGCAAAAGGTAATCCAGGTAAACTTTAGGAGAGTTTACCTTTAAACGCTTTTTCATAAAGTAATTTTTAAGCATTTAAATTTTTTGCGGGTTAAAGTATATTGAAACTGCTTTTTACTACATTTGAGCTGCTTACTTAACAGATTTGATAAACATTTTAGCTGAGTATAATAATTTTTAGCTGCTTATTATAATTTTTGTTGGTTCTTACATTTTCCAGCTGATTATCAGAATTTTCGGCTGATTTTTCTTCTGACTTTTATTTTTTTCAGCTGATTATTCTATTTTTCAGCCGATTATCATGATCTGTAATTTGTTAAACTTATCTTTTAGTCCGATCGATATATAGATCAGCTTGTTTTTAGCTGATTTTTCTATATGTTTAGCTGCTGATTACAATGAGGGGGCTGATGGGAATAAAAGACCTAGAACAACAATAACTGCTCGTCAAATGGAAGTTCTAAAGAATGCCTACAAAACCAGTCCCAAACCGGCCAGGTACGGCGATCACAGAAAGTGAGATATTAAGGTTTTTTTAGAGATTTTAAAATTGTTTTTTTTTCAGACATGTGAGAGAACAGCTTGCAGCGGATACTGGATTGGATATGAGGGTGGTTCAAGTCTGGTTTCAAAATAGGTAAGGAGAGCTTTACTTTAGGTTTAGGTTTATGTTGGATTAACTTCTGATTCAGGTTCAGGTTCAGGTTTAGGTTCAGGTTCAGGTTCAGGTTCAGGTTCAGGTTCAGGTTCAGGTTCAGGTTCAGGTTCAGGTTCAGGTTCAGGTTCAGGTTCAGTTTCAGGCTTAGGGTCAGGTTCAGGTTCAGATTTAAGTTCTGGTTTAGGTTCAGGTTTAGGTTTGCAGGTTCATATTCAAGCTTAGGTTCAGTTTCTGGTTCAGGTTCAAGTTCAATTGAATTGAAGGATTAGACAAAAAAATAATGTTTGCATAATAGATAATAATATTGTCTGTATGTTGGGGGGTGTGTTTGTTTAAACAGGGAGTATTCTTGGGGAGCGGGGAGAAAAAAGGAAGAGGAGGATTTATTTCCTACTCTGATTGTTTAAAAACCCATGCAAAATGTTATTTTTCTAATAAAAAATAATGCAATTGAACTAATTAATTTGTAATTGCCACAAACTCTAATATTCTAATCCTTGTATAATTTCAAACTGATATCGATGTTCTTGGATATTTCAAACCATAAATTCATAAATTTGAAATATTAAAATTTTCCATCGTTAGGTTGAAAAGCATCGGGGATTAGAAAATTAAAGAAAATTAATCAAAATTTCAAAGAAATTGTGTCTTTGTCCTAAACTCTGATTTCAACTAAATTTCTGAAACCCAATGTCGTAAACCTTAGATTTTTCAAACTAAAAATTCGGTTAGATCCATAAATCATAATTTAGAATATAAAATTTACACCATCAGGTTTTAAATATATTTAAGCTTGTGGCAAAAACTCAGTTTCTTTAACTTTTGTTTAATGTTGAAAACCTCTAAGAGCAAACTAATTAAAAATAAAAGTCCAAAATAAAGTTTTTGAAAGTTTTTGAATGTAGCAAACCTAGAATTTATAAATAAGACGGAATAAATACGTTTTATTTTTTATGGTTGACCAGTATGCCACAGGTTTACCCACAAAGTATGAATTTATACTGTTTGTATCCTTCTATTCATGATTCCCTCTAACTTATAAACTTGTTTTTATTAAAATGGCAACAAAAAAACTATACTTAAAGGGACTGTAAATGAAAAATGAAAGGGGGTATAGGCTGAAAGCTAATCACTTTAGCTCTTGATTGCGACCCATGAAAGTTATATCTGATGTTCCTGTCTCGAGAAATTGATATAAAACTGTGTTAAAATTATACGAAAGTTCATATATGTAAAATTTAGAAAATCTTAAACTTAAATCACGTGACCAGAACTATCACCAATGGCAGAGCAGTATACTGGTCACGTGTCTCCGTCTGTATCACTGCACTGTCATTGGTGGNGTAACTCTGTATATATGCTATAAAAATAAATGTATTTATTGTACTTTTTATTGTAAAATTGAAAAATGTATTTTAAAATATTTTCTGTTTTGTTTAGACGCGCCAAGGAGAAAAGATTAAAGAAGGATGCTGGTAGAGCTAGATGGGGCCAATATTTCAGGTTCATTTTTATCATTTAAACGAACTGTCGTCTTAATTTCAAGCAATCCTACTCTCTATTTGAGCTGCATAACCAATTCACAACGGTACCCTTTAAACCTTGGTCCTCGATCAGTAAATTGATAATTATTAACTGTGGTTTCTTTATCAAAATGACTTGCGGATTTATGCATAAGAGAGAAAGAGGGAAATTGGTAGAATTCATCACGTTGTAAGAAAGAAAAACGACAATATCTTTCTTATTATTGGGGAAGTACGAATCATGATCAAATTATAAGTAAATTGAGAATTTTTTTTTAACTTCGTAATTCTCTGGCTGCAGTTGAATAACCGATGCTACAGTACAATTCTTATAGCTAGAGAAAAGTTGGAACTTAATGGTGAGACGTATCGTTAATCTTGAAAGCTTAATCACGATATCCAATGTGAGCACACTTAAATTTGAGAATAAATGCTTGATTTGAAAAATTAGATTAATCCGTAGGTTGCAGAAAATGGAGATCATTGTTTGATCCCGAGATTTAAGACAAAAGTTTAAAAGACTTTAGATCAGTTATAAGTGAATTTTCTCAAATGCTCAGATACGTCAGAGCGAGAACAACATTTAATAATGGTTCGCGTCTTTAAAGAATAAAATCGCGTTCTTATTCAATCTCGCTTGGAGCAATCACGCTGGTTTCTTGCTGCATGTTATACAGAAATAGTGCTTTACAATTTACATTGCTAACCACCGCCGTTTTTTTTGTATAACGCCAATTTGAAGGATAACGACAATTTTTGTAGAGGAATGAAGAGTCCATTGTCTCCGGGTCGGGAGAAGAGAGGAGGAACGGATAGTGATAGAGACAGCGAGCTGGAGTTAGATTATTCACAATGTAAGTTTTTTTAATCTAATAATTTAAACATAAATTATATTTATTCATACTAGCGTAGATCAAGATTGATTAATAAAAATGACATTAATTTTCTGTGGCTCAATCAGAAATTGTTAGGAAACAATCCACAGAAACTTGTTTTGATGAATAAATTATGATCCCTTTATCCCCCCCCCCCCCCC